TTATTATTATTATTATTATTATTATTATTAGGGCTTCATGTTAATGTTAATTTAATGTTTATGCTAAAAAAAAGTGCATATAGCTGCTAATTGTATTTGTTGTTTGTTGATTTTCAAATATTAAACTTATTGAAATGTTTTCAGTTTGTGTATCAGTTCTTTTTGAACATTTTCATCTAATTTTAACAAAACCGTGATAGTATTGATAACTGTGATAACTTTGGTCACTATAATCGTGATATGACATTTTCTACTCTCAAGTGCTGGTAACCGCTGACTTGCATTTATAAATCACCATGGACCATGGTTTCAACTAAAAGTCTTCTTTACTGTTTTCTTGAAGAAAAAAAGCCCCAAAAAAGTAAATGAACAGCATATTTTCATTTATGGGTGAAGTATTCCTTTAAACTTTGGCCTGTTCATCACACAAAGCTATTTCATTGCTTCTGAATACATGGAAAATAGCACAGAGGTTGTATGCACTATTTTTGTGATGTTTTCCTTTATTGAATTTGCTTGAGGTTTTCAAAAGATGCATGAACATTCTTTAAAATTTCTCCTTTTGTGCACCACACAAAAAATAACAGCATATGGGTTTGAAGCAAATAATGACTGAATTTTATCCCTTTAGGTTTTTCCAGCTACCAGAGAAGCCGTCATTAAGGGGTGTTGTGTTCTGTTGAGCATTGACTCAGAAACTGTATGAATGGCAATTTAAAGCTGCACAGAGCAGAGGAGGGTTGATGGCTGGGAATTAATGCCTGTACTTTGAAAGCAGGTTGGCTCTTTCTGATGAAATCGGTGTTCTTTACAAAGCGCCTGGGAAATGGATTTTTCCACAGGTGCCAATAGCTTCTCTAAATGGCCACGTGCTCTAATATGTCTTGATGATTGACCATTTTCCTGAGCCCTGCGGGGGAGAGTTGCAGAGAATATAGGCATCAAGACTGTGTGATGGAGGTGCTGAGTCTGTAGAGGTGCTTTTATACAAGTCGAGGGAGGACATGTGCACTTTAAGTGTGATGGTACTTCAGCTTATTTCTGATTTTGAGAATTTCACACAAACTAATTATTTCTTACCTGTGAAGAGAGATGCTTTTGTTCTGTATACAGCAGCTTCTATGTTGTTAGTCCTCACTATAAGGTTCACTTGGTTTATGTTCTTCACACAGGTGCTTTATTTTTCTTTTGAAAGAGATATTACAGTATTTTGGGAGCTATATTGTAGATCATTTGAATGTAGATCACTCAAATGCGTGTTGAAATGACATGATGATTTTATGTTGGCAGGATTCAGTCGGGGTCGTATCTCAGCACCGGTTGGTTCACACTCATTCTGGCCATGGACATGTGCAAGGAGATCCGAGTCTACGGCATGATCAATGACACGTACTGCAAGTAAGACTGACATGCAATCTATCACTTGACAATGGGCTTTAAAGAAGCTTCACCTGGTTCCAGAGTGAAAAAGGACAGCCGAGCTGATACAGAGCAGTGCTGTGGGCTTCTTTTAAACATTGTGGAACATGTCTACCCTGCCATAATACAGACATAGACGCAAATATCTTTGCTTCAAAATTCTTCACTAGTTATCATTTTAAGACCATGCATTGTATCAATAGCGGTATGATTTGCTGCATGATAGGAATAGCACTATAATCAGTTTCATTTAGTGATTTCTTTTATATTTGGTTCATTAATTTGAAGGTGCACTCAGTAGCATCTCGTTTTGAAGGCTGCGTCCTCCGGAGGTTGCATTTGTCGGTCGCATACGTCATTGAAGCTGTCTCATTTTGGAAATGTAACCATTACATTCCAAAGTAAGAAAGAAATTACAATAATGTATGCCTCAAAATGAACAGTTTGTTTTACAATAATTACTTTTCTGAAATGACGTACATGGATGAAGTACGCAGCCAACAAATGTGACCTTCCGAGGCCACAGGCTACGAAATTAAACATAAGGAGTGGTTTTTGGCTGCATCCAAAACCGCATACTATATAGTATGTAAAAAAAAGTATGTGAAAAGAGTAGTATGTCTGGATTCACAGTATTCATAAAACATTAGCTGAAGTACTTCGTAGATGACCTACTACTTCTGGTTCAGTTCTAAATTGTACATTTGATGCGGATGACAGCAAGAGGTAAATCAAGAAACAGGTGTATATTTATAATAAATATATTATAAACAGGTGTATAAAATAATTAGCGTCCATGGCAACAAATGAGAATCGGGAACAAAGAAAACAGGAACATAACACAGGAAAACCAGGTTGAATAAACTAAAGGTCTAAAAAACAGCCACAGGAGAGAATTTGTGAATGAGAGTGAAGTGACGCAACTGTTACTGTAGGTCACGTGACAATGACACCATGGCGAATGTAGTATGTATATGTGTAAACTTTTTGAATTTGAAGATCAGAGTAAATGTAATTTATTTTGTCTTCTGGGAAACATCTATCACTTATGGGAAACTATCTTCTGTATAGCCTCTGAAGGGCAGTACTAAATGAAAAAATATTATATTTAGGCAAAATTTTAAAAAAATTTACACGTCTCCATTCTGTTCAAAAGCTTTCACTCCCCAGCTCTTAATGCATGTTTTTTCCTTCTGGAGCATCAGTAAACGTTTGACCCTTCTGTAATAGTTACATATGAGTCCCTCAGTTGTCCTCAGCGTGAAAAGATGGATCTCAAAATCATAAAGTCATTGTTGGAAAGGGTTCAAATACACAAAAATGCTGGAAAAGAATGTGTGAGACCTGAGGGATTTTTCTGAAGAACAGCAGTTTAACTGTTCAGGACAAACAAGGGACTCGTGAACAACTATCACTAAAAAAAAAGCACAGCTGTGGATCATTCAGGTAACAGCACAGTATTAAAGGTGCCATAGAGTGGAAAACTGTATTTACCTTGGAATAGTTGCATAATAACAGTTCTGTACATGGAAATGACATACCGTGAGCCTCAAACACCATTGTTTCCTCCTTTTTATGTAAATCTCGTGCATGCAAAAGACCACTGAAAACAGGCGAATCAGAACATAACACCGACTGTGACGTTACAGTCGGTATCACTAATAGTTACGCCCCCAACATTTGCATATACCCGCCCATGTTCTATATTCTGCAGGTATTGTGAAGAAACAAGCGAGGATAATAGCGAAAATGGCAGATCATGGAAATAAATGTTATGTTCCAGGCTGTGCATGGGATGTGATGTGCAGGGATGGGTTGGTTTCTGTATTAAGAAAGGCACGGAAAACAAATAACGTGTTCTAATAAAATAACGCGAGCCACTAAAGTGACATGTTAGCTGCTTGCTAGCGGTAGCCTGTTACATCACAGTACATAAGATTTCACTTACCACATAAACAGAGTAAGGAGAGATGACTGAGGATGATGGCGAATGATTTACAGATCCTGAGCACCACTGACAAGCATCTGATCTTGTAAAATGTGTGGTAAGTACCAATCAGAGAAGAGCTCAACATTATTATTCATGACCCTTCCAAATAAGGTAAAAACAGACCATTTCATTCTAGGGACAAATCCTGGGGTTGTAAATGGACATGTAAAACCGTTTCTGGAGATTTTTTGCCCTTACCTAAGCCACATACCTTCTATGTGTAGATATCAGAGAACAATTTAAAATATTGTATCAATGCATTCTATGGCACCTTTAAGAATCATGATCAGGATGTAAACTTTTGAATGGAGTCATTTTTATAAGTTATTTTCTCTTGTGGACTATATGTAAACATCTTTTATGTGTAATATCTTATTCAGGTCAGTACTAAATAAACAATAACATGCATTTTGTATGATCCCTCTTATTTTGGTAAAATAATTAACATTTTGCAGATTTTGAAAGGGGGATGTAAACTTTTTACCTCAACTGTATATAGAAGGTACTTTTTTTAACAAAGTCACGAAGTAATTACTTATTCAAACAAAGTGCCTACTCAGAGTGTAGGCAATTTTGAAAGCAGCATTTGTTTGTTTACCGATATGTAATAACTAATACTGACACCTAGTGGTGTGGATGTAGCACCAAAAACACAAAACCAACTGTTTTCAGTTACCTTGTCATTGTAGAAATACTCTATAGCCATGTAAGGCATAATCCATATCTAGGTGTGCATTTAACAATTTTATACTACGGGGCTGTTGAATGCTTGAATCTGATTAGTTGAAGGAATGTTCTAAGGTGTGTAATTATTTTCATATGGCTAAAGTTGTTCCAGGCAGGTCTTGACCACATTACATATCCATATTACTTCAGTACATATACATATAATTTCAAAGGTCCTTACAGCCTAAAATATTTAGGGGCCACAACCTTCATTACTGTCCACCACTGACCATACTGAATGTGTAAAAATAACTGTTAATTTGGCTAATTTCCATAGTTATTTTATCTACATTTTAACTCACAATCAGAATCAAATATTTAGATAGACCATGGTGTAAGATACATTTTTTCTAGAATAATTAAATTAACAGTATTAAGATCAATGAAGATTAAATATTGATTTAAGTGAAATTATATTTTAATGTGGAGTTAAGCAACAAGTATTCAGTTGGTCATGTGGCTAGTATTTAGCTGATTATATCTGAAACACTCTTTTCAATAGTATTATTGATTTATTTACTAGTATTTTTTTAATGAGGAAAGTAAAATATCTTGTTTTAATTTAAAGGGGTCATATGACATTGCTGAAAAGAACATTATTTTGTGTATTTGGTGTAATGCAATGTTTCTATGTGGTTTAAGGTTCAAAAAACACATTATTTTCCACATACTGTACATTATTGTTTCTCCTCTATGCCCCGCCTTTCTGAAACGCGTCGATTTTTACAAAGCTCATCGGTCTGAATTCAGGAAAAAGTCCTCTGTAAAATGTGTTGCACACATCTGAATATTTGGGTTGAACTGTTCTGGAACAGTGTTGTAAATACAACTTAACCACTGATTTCTAGTTGTGTCCTCTCTTAGAAGGCCAAACAAAGTATTTTCGCTTTCACAACGAAACGCAGCGTCTCCACGACATGGTGGCAGAGGCAACAACAATACTACAGAGAGAATCAAAGTTACGCCTTCTTTCTTTGCGTGAACATTTGGGCGGTGTTATGCAAATCTTTAGGAGGACGTGGACGAGTCTTGACTTTTATAAAGAATATCTCTTTGGGTTTGAGACTTTAGTCTTTGCAACTTTAGGGATCTTATCTATTCACGAATAGCTTGTAACACTCCAAAGAGAAAGGAAAACTTGAAATTGCATCATATGACCCCTTTAAAAATAATTTTCTAAAAAAACAAAAAAAAAACTCTTTTGGGCTCTTTCATCATTACTGCAATAAATTGTTGCCAAAAAATGCCAAAGTAGTCAGTTTGTTGTCTGATTTTCTATGCATGTCTCCTGACACTGTTTTAATGGTTTACTGGCAGCATATAAATCCCTTTACCATGAATCTCACACCATGGTTCCATTTTAATGATAGTGTCCTTAACAACCTCATGCCCCCCCTGCTGCAGATAGACGTAAGCAATGCATGCAATGCTGTGATTAGCGTGTTTGTAAAGTAGCTATTATAATCTGTTTTCACAGCCATTTATTCATTCCGCTCTCCCTTTCAAAACAATGAGCAATTTTCATTTCACAGCAACCCCCAGTCACCTGTAAAGACTGGCAAATGAGAAAAGAGTGGCTACAACAAAGTCATTTTGATGAAAGGCAGTTCAGCTGGGAAGTATCTATTTTAGCATAATGTTCTGAGCTGTTGTTGCAATTGACCTCGCTGGATCTCTTGTAATTAAAATTCAACAGGTGCTACTGGGAGAGAAAAATTGAATCTATTTGTGAGGGGGGAAAAATGCCTTCTGAGCTTCCATTTCTCCACAGGAATGCTCCTTACGGACTCAGAGCACTCAGTCTTTGAATAAAAAGTAGCAATGGGTTAAAGCTCCAACAACATCAAAACTGCTGCAGGCTTCCTGGTCTTTATTGTGCACAATTCATCAGTGCATTACCGAGGAAAAAACATCCTTGTTTTTCTGTTTTCCAGTGTTTTTTTCTTTTGGTTTCACTCAGAAATATGTGATGCGGAAATGAAATAAATTGCAAATACCTTTTAAACTGTACTGAAAATGGCACCTTATAGTATGATTTATTGTGATGGAATAAAGTAACATTTATTTATTTTTAAATTTTAGATCAGAAGGCTACAGGAAGGTGCCGTACCACTACTATGAAGCAGGAAGTCGTGACGAATGTGCCGAATACCTCTTGCACGAGAGCGCCCCTTATGGTGGCCACCGGTTCATCACAGAGAAGGCTGTTTTTGCAAAGTGGGCTAAGACACACCCCATCAAGTTTTTCAGCCCGGAGTGGCAGCTGTCATGACCAAGACTCCCATTCGTTCAGAATATCCCTTGATACAACAGCTCTGTTGGCTCGTCCCTCCTGCATTGTAAAGTAATACTCACAAAACATGCCATTCAATGGCTAAACGAATCATTCCAAATGCGATTTCAAATGGCAGTTGTCAAGAGTGAAGTTAGTATCCCATCGTGACCATGAGGAGAGGTTTCTAATGAAACTCGTGTTGATCCTGGTGTGATCAAATAGTGGATTTTGCATGTTCTCATTTTATTCACATCTGGATAATCAAGTAGTGTATGTTTTCCAGAGGCACACATATTGCAGAAAAGATCTACAAAGAACGTCACATCCTTGCTTTAGCTTTCATTACCTTAAAGGGGCTCACTTTAGGGCTGGCCGATATACCAAATTATTTATAAAGTTATATTTCAATATTTTTCAGCTTTTTGATGATATTTTCTGTACATTTTTATTTATATATTTGCTCTCAAATGGGGCTCGCATTTTTGCATTTAAAAAACACAAAGAAAGTGGAATGAAAAAATGTGCAAAATTTAGAGAGTTTTTTTTACAAGTTGAACTACCCTATTTTAGACTGCTTTTTTCACTTATAAACGATTATAAACTTATAAACTAAACATCCATTGTAGCCCCTTAGATTTAAAAGGATTAATGCAAAGAAGTAAAGTACAGGAATTTTTTACCCTACATAAACCCAAGGAATAATGATACTTAAACATTATAATAATTTATCTGAAGCATTATTGTTACAAACAGTATGTTGTGTTTGTAAACAGCCATTGTAGCCAATTCAATTCAAATGATTAATGCAAATTAAATTAATCTAAACCAATATACCTACACTTTTTTTTTGCAAAACTGTACAAAAAAACTACATTCTGTGCAAACAAATAGCTGAATAAACTAACAAATTAATTGAACTTACAAACTCTAATGAAGTTTAGACTTTAGTAGTGCTACTAAATCAGATAAAACATTTAAACATTCTCATACTCGAGTTTGACAGTCTTTAGAAAAATTAATAGCCAAATGAAAATCACATTAACTTATTGCTGCTTATTTTTATATTTCCTGCAACATAATCGTGTTTTCAAATCAAATCGCAAATTTGATATATTTTCCAGCCCTAGTTTCATATATTATTATTTTATGGTTATTTTTTATTACAGTATTATGGTTATTCTTGTCTCATAGACAAGCATTGGACTGACACAGATCTTAGGAAAACAGTCTCTGTCAAAAGTTTTTCTTTCATAAAAAATCTACAAAAATCATTAGCCCAAAATCGTAAACATTTTTCACTACACCGCTGACATCACTTTGGAAACGTAACATTGAAAGCATCCTTTGAGCAGCTTAATAGGTAATTCAGGAACTTATTATTCCCATTTTTTATTTATTCCCTGAACAAAAGAATACGTATGCATTTGTTGATCTGAGACGGTTGAATACAAAGCGATATTCTGTTGTTACGTGCCATGACAAGAACACAGCTTTGCTTACGATATATAGGTCTGCTGTTGACAAAACACATGAGGAACGATTCAGAATGAGTGAATTCAGATGTCAAGACTGTGCCTGTATGAAGTGAAGCATATGTTGACTCTGCAAAGCTACCAATCCTTGATTCCAATGAGATGAAGACACGCCGTCTCTGTTGTCAGATCAGCAGGTTAATTTGATCAGCTACTGTAGCTAAGTGTCGTAGCATCATATAAACCAGCAGACAATGCAGCGCCCTTGGGGCTCCCCTACTGATTCGAGACATCCGCTGCACTTCACCTTGTTTTTCTCCCCATCAAACTAAGTATGCACTCTTTTTGCATGTATATAAAGAATATTCATCATCGCCGATACTGTATGTAACAAGTTTTCGTATCAGCTTGTGATTCTGACATCATCTGGCAGCTCAGCCCGGACAGCCTTTCTCTTCTAATGCACCACTGTGTGCATGTTTGACCAGCACTGCGACATCATGTGAGCACCGTCACAGTTTTTTCCCTGGAGAAAAAGATGGATGCACTGGCTGTGTGAAGAGAGAATTATATACGGCATGAGAATATGAGACTGATACACAGAACGGGAGGCAGGCGCCAGTGCTGGAGCAATTTGATGAGATACTGCTCACGCCTCTGGCCAACCTGTTCATTAAAACAATTGATGTCAGCTCAATTTCTCAGAGTGCTGACCCAGGATCGTCATTTCCTGGCCTCTGTATTGATTTTGTTCACCATGTGACATAAACCAGAGCTGGTCAAGAAATGGCACTTTGACTTTTCAATGTATTTTTGACTTTAGCTTCTGTTGTTCATGCCTCAGTCATACTTCATGTTCTCACGATATACGCTTCATGACCAAAAGTATGTGGACAATGCAAAAATCATTTTTAGCAGTAATCTTGTCTTGTTTTCCATTAAAAATATAATCTAAAACAAAAACTAAATACGTTTAGTGGAGAAACTAAATAGTGTAAGATAATTGTTTTCATATTTTGCTTATTATTTTCATATTTTTTCTTAGCCCATTATTTTTTTTCCCTTCTGTTAAAGCTGCAGTCCATAACTTTTTTTGGTTAAAAATGATCCGAAATCAATATTTGAGCAAGTACATAACCAGCTAGTGTTCAAAACTATCGCCTTACTTTAGGTTGATTCACAAAGGTTAGCTTCTTATTACAGATAGCCTACATGGGATTACACAAGTTTTGTATTTTAAAGAGAACCAGTTCTAAATAATTTGTTTTTTTGATTAAAAGTATTTCTTTATTAAATTCTAATGGTATGACAATTAGAGATTAGACTGTACAGAAATGGAAATCTACATGTAACGCTAGCTGCGTTTACATGGACCCTACTAATCCGATCGTAAAAGGACTAGAAGCACAATCAGAATTAAAAAGTCACATGTAAACATGTCAATCGGATTGAATTGGCCAGATTCGATTCAGATTTCGATCGGATTGTAAGGGGTGGCTTATTCCTTTTGTAATCCGAGCGAGAGGACGTGTAAACACTTGATCGGATTGAAAACCGATACTGGAAAGTACTGCGCATGTGCAGTGACATAAAAATAGCATAATGACGTATGACGCGCGGAACGAGCTGTTCTTCCTGGTGAATAAAGTGTCATAAATGAGTGTCCCGTCATTATAAAACTCCCCTTTTACTCAGCGTCTGTGAAGTGGAGCAGCACAACGTCCCACCAGTCCTTGTTTAAGACTATCATCCACAGACGAC